TGTATGCTATTTTTTAACATATCCATTTCGAATATAATGTCATGTCTCTCCTTTTCGCTATCTTGTAATTTCTTCTCCAGCTAGCCGACGGCGCTCATCTACTGGTACCGCACAGAAGTCGACAACTGGTTTAAAAGGACTCACTCCAGAACAAGAAGCGTTACTACAAGAGGCTTTAGAAAAGTATAATCCAGAGGCCGCTGCCAAAGCGAACCAATTTAATAGTAGTTCTACCTCAACCCTTAGTAATCAAAGTGACATATCAATCACTTCTGCTACTACGCCTATTTCAAATAACCAGTCAAATCTTTCATTAAGGAAGCCAGGCGCCAGAAGACAAAGTATATCTAAGGTGACTCGGCAGCCTTTATTACCACCGCTAAGTGAGATGCCAACTGGTGTTTCAACAGAATTACCAATTTCTACGACTCAACCACAAGCTTTGCCTTCAAAATATTCTTTAAACAATTCAGGACATCAATCATCCATTTCATTTCCTCCTCAACGATCATTTTTAACACAAAATCTACATTCGGCTTCTGGGTCCCTACTCACAAATACGTTACCTGTCCACCCACGTTTACAATCTGTTACTACTTCACCACGTCCAGCATCACCTTCACTTTCGCAATTCTCAGTTGGCGATCGAGTCTATGCTGAATCAATGAACATTACTGGTACATTAAGGTTTTTGGGTCCAATAGATATCAAACCTGGTACTTGGGCTGGAATAGAAGTTGATATTTCTGGGACAGGTAAAAATGATGGAAGTGTCAATGGGTAGGTTTTGAACTTTTATAAAAATTATTAAAAAATTGTTAACAAATTTTTAACATAAATGTTATTGATAATATTATTTAGTAAATCATATTTTACTTGTCCACCGAAATCCGGTATTTTTATTCTACCTTCCAAGCTTTCCAAAGTTGACAAAGAGCCAGCTAGTTTACCACAAGTATCGACCTCAATTAAACCTAGCCCATCTACTCATAAATTGCCACGCCCACCATCCACTTCCACTAATTCTAGTGACAAAGAATCTTCAGGGATTTCTTCAATGGACCCTAAAATTTCAAAAAATGCACAGAACGCTGCATTGGCCGCTTCTCGAATAACTGCCGGATCACGTGCTTCGAAATATATCGGTGTCACAGCTTCTCAACTTAAACAAAGGACTAAACCTACCAACATTATAACTACACCTATTGTTGAATCACCATCTTATCGCGATCAGTCTCAGACAACTAAAAAAACTTCAGGTTTGGCTCGTCCAAATTCAAATAATAATCTAAAATCTTTATCTTTATCCCAAACTTATGCAAGAAATCGGCCGAGAAGTAATTCTGTCTCTTCTAACGGATCTGCCATATCCAATACATCTCAATCAGCCTCCCAGCCAAGATCAGTAATTTCACGTTCCCCAAATCCACCAAATGATGCGTTATCACCTTCTGATAGTGATATGACCGTCATTGCCCCTATAAATGAAGAAATGAGTAATAAATCCCTTCAAGAAAAGGTAAAAAAATTGTTAAATGATTCAGAAAATTCGGAAAAAGTTCCTTTGAGTCTGTTTGATCAACAGGCTCTTCGGATTCAACAATTACAAATGAAAATTGAAATATTAGAGGGAGAAAATACACGTTTTAAGCTTGATGACAAGAAACTTCAAACTCAAGCTGATACTGGAAAATCCTACGAACGAGGCTTTCCTGGTCTTCACACAGGGTTAGCTCACGGTGATGTAAAAGAAAATTGGGAAACTGAGAAAATTTCTCTTTTGGAAGAAAAAGAATCCATAGAAAAGGCATTAAATGAAAAGATATTAGAATTGACCAAGAAACTTCAAGATACTTCAAAAGTACAAAATTTCAGACCAAGTACTTCTCTTTCACAGATTGCAGACGATGATCTTATGAGTGATAAAATTTTGCAGCTGACCGAGTTAGTTGAGCAAAAAGATGAGCAGATTAAATCGCTTGAAGAGTCGCTCAACAAAGTGACTAAACAATCAAATGAATATCAAATTAAGATTGCAGAGTTGGAAAAAATTAACTCGGAACGTGCTGACAATATCGAACAGCTTGCAACCCTTGGATCTCAAAATTCACAAACGGAAGATTCTGATAGAGTTGCTCAGCTTGAAAAAGTTATTCAAGAAAAATCTACTGAGATTGTTCAATTAACGGGAAATGTTGAAAGTATTCAGATTGAATCTGATGGAAAAATGCGTGCTCTTCAAGAGACCATCGATGAGTTAAAATCTGCAGGCCAAGAAACGATTAATATCTATGAATTAAAAGTTTCATCGCTCGAACAACAAGTTGAGGACTTAAAAAAGGCTGGTGTAGAAACAATATCGTTATACGAGGAGGCAACAAATAGAATTACAGAGCGCGAAACTAAAATTAATTTATTGGAAAAAGAAGCCGAAGAATTACGATCTGCAGGTGTGGAGGCTATTGATGTATACGAAAAGACAATCGAAGAGACTAAAAGAGAGATGGAGAATTTCAAAACTCAATTGACCAGAAAAGAAGAGGCACTCACTACAGTCAACAAAGAAATAGAGAGACTTAAATTACTGCAAAAGGAGTTGACAGAAACAAAAACAAAGAGAGAAGAAGGTCTTAGAAATGAATTGGCTGATTTACAAACTGGTTTAGAACATATGATGCGTGCAGACGCCAAATCTCGTGAGCGCATTTATCAACTCGAGGATGAGGTTCGAGACTCTCAAGCTCTTGTTAGTAGACAACAAGAAGAAATTTCTGCTCTCAAAAATAACATGCAAAATCTTATGGCCGCAAATACTGACGAAGAAATAGAAAAGGTTAAAAAAGTCTTTGATAGCGACATCAAGAGGCTTCAACATGAATTGGAAGAGTCAAGAAAATTATTATCTGATACACAATCAGAAAAGAGAACACTTGTTGGAGAATTAGATATTGTTAAAGATGAAAAGAAACTGCTAGAGAAGAAATTACAAGATAGCGAAAAGGAGAGACATGACATTATATTCGAAATGGATATGTTAAAAAATAGCATACA